CCGAGTGTGACACTCCCGCTCATCCACAGAGGCGGCGCCGTGGTGACACTGGGCTGAAAGAGGTTGGGCCTGTACTGAGAGGCAGATAGCAGTCAGTCAATCTGCAAGCCAGGCAGGCAGGGATGGGACCCCTCAGACCTTGGACAGGTAAGGGAAAAAGGGCCCTCCCAAATCAGGCGACTCCTCGATGTTTTGTGTCGACTGATTGGCTCAATCTCGCGGTTCTGGCATGGCACGGCTCGACCGCAGGCTCGTGCGACTGCCAAGCGTGCTTCAGCAAGCATCCTCTGAAACGACTCCTGTCGGGACATCCGCATCATCACGATCAATTCTGCGACTCGCAAGTCGCTCCGACCTCTCCTGCCCCTTCTGTTCGCTTCGCTACCTTTTGTTGTATCTGTTTCTCTTCCGTTCCTGACGACTTCTTTCTGGTTCAGCATTCGCGGCAGTGGCCCCATCCACGTTTCGACCTGTCCTCTCTTTCAGTGCGAATCCCTCCGCCGAAACCTGGGAGCCGGCCTCCTCCACTTCGTCTTGCTCGAGACTCCAGGACCAGACGAGCCGCCCGCACAAAGTGCTTCGACCCAGAGAGACAAATCAACCCGGTCGACTGCTTGCCCGTTGGGAACCAAGTCTATCACATTCACCACTGTCCATTTTTTTTTCTTCATTGTCTTCTACGATATCGTCTCGCTGTGCGGTCGAACTTCACCAGATACTGCTCTGGTCACGGTCTTTACCCTGACGTCCACCGAACGCCATACCATCTCGCCAAACCGCTTCACTCGAGACGCCGGCCGTCTTTCCTCGTACCGTCGCCGCCAACAATCCTCTACGAACATTAGCCGATCTCTGTACACCCATATAGTCCTCAAGACCGCCAGCAACATGGTCAACAAGATCCTCGCGACCTTCGTGGTCGCCGATTTGCTCTTCCTGATCACCGGAGCCGTCACCTTGGGCTTCTCCCTCATTGCCCGCAGCAACATGTTTGAGCAGCCGGGCGAAGGCCAGCAGGCTGCGAGAAACTTGATCTATCAAAAATTCCCATTCGAAGCTGGTATCGCCAATGCAGCCTTTATCTTCATCTCCTTTGTAATGACACTGCCCGGCATCATTACCCCGACCCGTGGCTGGCTCAAGCTGGCTGCCTACCTCATTACTTTTTGCGCCCTGTTCTCCCTTTGCGTGGGTGTCTACCTCTGGGTCCTGACCCTCACCACCCAGTTTGACTTCTTCGCCATCTGGATCGCTCAGGAACCCGGCGTTCAGAATCTCATGCAGACATCGGTAGGAGAAAGAGCCACCTACCCAACCGTTCGGGAGACGAAACTGACCCTCCTCCAGTTCAACTGTTGCGGATACTTCAACAGCACTTCTCCTGCCTTTGTCACCAACGATCTTTGTAGCTCCCCAGCAGCTGCCGCTCTTCAACGCGGCTGCAGTGGTCCCGTCACCTCGTACTCCAACATCCTCATCGACGGCATCTTCACTGCTGTCTTTGGCATGGTCGGTGTTGACGCGCTTCTGATTATCTGCCTTGCTGTGCTACTGGAGGACCGCAAGGAGCGCGAGCGCTTCCGTCACATCGATGAGAAGAGCGGATACCGCAGCCTCTAGACGACCGTAAAGCCGATCTCCCATTTTGGGATTTTGTCAACTTCTCCCGATGCAGCCAAGACGTATTCGCCTTGGATCGATTTTAGATATTTCACTCTCTCACACCAGCTGACTGCTGGTTCTCTCATTTTTGTGTGGAAAGAGGAAGACGAGCTGGGACGTGTCTCCTCGTTTCACCCTGCAATAAAGCGCATATGGCTCCTTGTCACGAGGCAGGTTCTCGATAAGAGGAATGGACTACACTGGGAAGGGTCCCACTTGCCTGCAACGGGCCAAGGACATCAACGCGAGTCCGTGACATTCATGTTGCTGTGTCTTGTCTTACTTGTCGCTTGTATTTTCTTTGTATGCATCTCTTGGCCTACGTTACCCCGAGCCACTGTGTAAATATAGAGATGCACGAGAGACCGGAATGTATTCACGAATATCAACGACTCGGTAAAACTTACTGCTCATGGCATGCTATGACGTTCTTTTCCACTTCACTGTTCGCCTGTTGCGCCAACTACTTGTTGTACTGCCGCGGTTGAAATGACCTTTCTGTCAGATTGCTATATGCATGTACTACATCCATGGCGCGCCGCGCATGCTCATATATCATGTATGCACACTGGTACAATGAGGAAATGAAGAAGAAGAAGAAGAAGTAAAAAGCATCTCGCAAAAAAATGGGAAACGCTACCATGTGCTTGTTCCTCTACTATACAGGCGACTCCTCATCATCTTCTTGCCTCTGCTTCCCCCGCCCGCCGCTTCTCGCCTCGCGGTCTCGCGGCGCAGGCGTCGGGCTCGTGGGCGGATCTGGACTATCCCGATACGCCGGCCACGGAATGATGCTCCCTGTGCTCTCGCGTGCGCTCGCGTTGGCCCCGAGGCGCGGCGACTCGACAGCCACGCCGGCAGCCTCGGGGTCCTCCGGCTCCTTGCCGTGTCTGGAACGCCACCACTTCATCCTCCAGAGCCCGCCCAGCGCATCCTGCAGCGAGGAGTTGCTCTTGGGACGGGCCTTGCGGGCGGTGAAGCCCGGGAAACCGGTCGACTTTCGCCTGCGGCGCGAGGGTCGGCGGGGCGCCGAGTCGGAGCCGGCGGAGGAGGGGCCGACGACGTCAAAGGAGACGGAGCTCACGCCGCTGACGTTGCGCTTGGCGGCGAGGAGGGAGCTGTGCTCGCCCGTCGGCATCGTTTTGGACCTGTGGCGGCCCGCCGGCCGGCTCTCGTTCTCCTGGTCTTCCAGCTCATCCCAGATCTCGGCTCGTTCTTGCCAGCGGAAGGAGCCCGTATTTTTGCGAGACTGCAGCAGAGGGGTCGAGTCGCCGTTTTGTGGCGTGTGGAATGTGGAGTACGAGGTAGGGAGTGTGTTGTCGGCCTCGTCATGCGAGTCGGATCCGAGGAGGGATTCTTCTTCGCCCTCGGTGTCCTCGACCAAGCCCAGACCCGGGGCCAGGGACGACTGGCCAACGCCAGGCGTGTGCTGCTCGTCGCTCAGTCGCCACGACAGCGCCAGGACGCCCGACAGGAGAATGGCCGTGCCGAGAGCAATGAGACAGGCGCGCAGCGGACCGAGCTGGTCGGTCTGCTTGAAGTAGATCAAGCCGTCCAGGATCGCAATAATGTTATAGATGCAGAACACCAACGGGTACAGCACGGACGTCGAGACAAGTTTCAGCCCACGGTGAAGATAGTAAAGCTGGCTCAGGGCCAGCGTGATCAGAGCCAGCACGAGTGCCCACGCCTGCCAGTGGACAAACTGATTGGTAGGGCCAGACAACGTCTTAATGATCAGCTCGACCGCAGACTTGGCGACCAGCAAAGAGTGGGCGGACAGAATGCCGCTGATGCAGCCGTATGCCAGACCCCGAAAGAAGCGGAACTTGGCGTTCTGTCCGAGGTTCGAAAAGTGGTTCAGACTGTCCGTGATGATGGCGATGGCGAGTACGAGCAGCGCCTGAAGAATCATCCACACCACGAACGTGCGACGCCCCAAGAGAGCCAGCAGTTCTTTGAGGTCGTGCGCTGGCTCTGGGATCGCGCCGAAGATGGCAATCAGCACGGCACCGGTGCAGACTAGCAGGGTTCCCCATAGCGACCACCTTGTGAATGGCTCAGCCAGTATGAGAGTGGCGCATATAGAGTTGAAGACGAGCCCGGAGGCTTGCAAGGTCGAAAGGACAGGTAGCGGTAACGTCGAGATCTGTACCGTGCTGCCCAGGATGTTGGCGGCGATAAACATGCCCATGCCCAGCTGCCATCTTCCTCTCCTGTATGGCGGCCGTCGGACCTCGTGGGGGGCTTTCTCGTCTTCGAGGATATGCGACTTGCGCTGCAGGGTGAGTCCCAAGCTCTGTACGCTTGTGGACATGAGGCCGACTAGGATGCCGATCTGTACATCGATTCGCTCGTTAGAGTTGTGCAGCAGAAAAAAGCCCAGTCCTGTTGCGACGCACCGTGATCGTCCCCCCAGGGGAGATGCCGCCGAGTGCCCCCATTGCCAGTTGTTCGACTTGACTGGTGGTCAACTGGCAGTCGCCAGGGAGAATGTAGCAGTTGTGAGGCCCATATACGTGGGTGTTGTTACACGCGACTCGTCACGGTTCGTACAATAATTTGGCGGTTATTGCCTCTGTGCAGTGCAACGGCAGTGTCGTGGAGGGAGTCTGATGACGTGGTGACGCTACGAGACTTTGTTGATCAATGGGCGGTGATAGGCGGTCGCACCAGGGGTCAGTCGCGGAAGGGCGGTGTCGATGTCGGCGCGTCCGTGTCGAGTTGGGAGTACAGCAGCGTGAGGGAGGAGTCGTTCAGGCGTTAGGCGGCGCTGGGTTGGAAGAAAGCCAATGTGAGACTATTCGATATGCATGTAGGGACGGGATAGAAGAAACAATGCCGGTCCATTGCTGCATCGGCACCGAACTCGTTCCACATGGATGGTGTCACGGGTTGGCGATACGGGTACCTTAGCTCCATGTGTGGCGGTGCTCTGTCACCTGATACCGCCTTATCCCACCTCGACGCGCTCTACGCTAGTCCGTGATGTCACAGCGTTGTGGCTTGCGCAAAAAAGGCACGGCTGAGGTAAGGTGAGGTACCTTTTGGGTGGAGATTCGTGCTGGTGTGGGGTTCTGGCCTGTGGCTGCACGAGGCAGGCAAGCAAGCAGTGTGTGCCAAGCTGGCTGGCGAGTGGACGGCCTCCGTGATGCTCATCCTCGCAGTCGAGAGGGACGCAACAGCTCGATCCAACAACGCAACACCCCCACCCCTACGACATTCCCATCTCTCCTCCCGACGACCTCTGTTCCCGGTGGTGCAGACCCTGCTCGCATTGTTCCTCTGCTCACGATAATACACCGACTCCTCAAAGTACCTCACAACAAACCGCCATCATGTCGAACCAACCGTTGACCGACGACCAAGTGAGCCAGCTCCCACACCAGCTTCGCCTCTGAACGGGAAGCTATCATGGCCATCCTACAAAGAAGGCGTTTTCAGGCCAAGCATGACTGCTGACACTATGACCCCTACTCTCGCAGGTCGGCAATGAGCTCCGCAAGATGACCGCGTTCATCAAGCAAGAAGCCATGGAGAAGGCCCGCGAAATCGAGATCAAGGCCAACGAGGAGTTCGCAATCGAAAAGTCCAAGCTCGTCCGCCAGGAGACAGATGCGATTGACACGGCCTACGAGAAGAAGTTCAAGCAGGCCACCATGTCGCAGCAGATCACCGCTTCCACCGTCGCCAACAAGACCCGTCTCAAGGTCCTGGCCGCCCGCCAGGAGCTCCTCGACAGCATCTTCGAGGCCGCCGGAAAGAAGCTCGCCGACGGTGTCAAGGACAAGTCGAAGTACCAGGGCATTCTCAAGAACCTCATTCTCGAGGGCTTCTACGGCCTCAGCGAGTCCGAGGTCCAGATCCGCGCGCGGAAAGCTGACAACGATGTTGTGAAGAAGGCCATTGACGAGGCGGCCAAGGAGTACAAGAAGAAGACGAGCAAGGACGTCACAGCGACCATCGATCAGCAGAACCCCCTGCCCGAGGGAAGGTAGGCTCCCCTTCTCCTTTCCCCTGAGCCCTTCCTTACAAGTTCGTACGTGCATCGTGACGGCGGCTGACCCAATGTGCACCTACAGCAAGGGCGGCGTGTCCATTGTCGGAACCGGCGGCAAGATTGAGATTGACAACACTGTTGAGCAGCGGCTAAAGCTGCTGGAGGACACTGCCCTGCCGGCCGTGCGAGAGACGCTGTTCGGCAAGAACCCTAACCGCAAATTCTACGATTAAGCGTGGGCCACGCGCATCACGTCTCCTCTCCCAAGCCCTCCCGCTGCCCTGTTCCGCAGCACCAATTGTTCTCTCCATGTCGATGGACCGATGCCGCTGAACGGGTCGGATCGCCTGCTTTTGTACCTTAGATGCTGTATGATCATTCACCAGCACTCGTCCGTAGCCAGGGTCAGCAAGTCATCAAGTCATTATAACTACCACACTACCCTTGCGCCTATTATGAAAGTTCACCGACCGCCGTCATGAACGAGTCTTCTGCCTCCGAGGCATCGTCTGAGCCAGCCATGGATCCCCGACGTTCTTCGTCTCTAAGTACATCTAGTCTTGGCGGCTTCTTCAAAGCGCCAATAAACTTGCTCATGAATGCTTTCTGTGTCTCCGTCACCACCTCCTTGCGCTGCTCAGGCAGCTCAAAGATGTTTCGCTTGGGCGGAGGTTTCGTTCGTACTGCGTATGTCAAGCGTTTCTGCGCACAATCGATCGAGTTCTTCGCCTCGGTTCGCGATAGGTAGGCAGCCCCGGAATCATTGATACTGCCCCATAGGGTCTTCAGCTGCTGAGCCAGGTGGTCGACTTCGGCGTCAAAGGCTACGGCGTCATCGTATGATGTACTGCCGGCGCAGAACGAGCCGTCGTCGAGTGCGATGTCGAAAAGCTGGATTTGCGCCCTCAGCTCTACGTAGTCTGTCTTCCTCTTGATATGGAACTCGTCGCCCTTGAGGCGGTGCATAGCTTCTGGGATGAATCCCTGGTCATCTGGATGTTGCCTTGCGAGTGTTGCGTCTCCGAGGAAGAAGGCCAAAGCCAGCCGCCGCCGCAACTCTCGCGATTTGCGTGTTGTGGGGACGATCTGTTGAATCGACGCCAGGCGTAAGGAGCCGGTATCAAATGCAGTCCAAATCGAGGCACATGCGTGTTGACACTGACGTGGTGTTAGCTTGGCTGCAATCAAGACACTTGCGACGAAGAAAACCCACAAACTCATCCCAGTCAGTTCCGTCAACAGCCTCGACCAAGGAGGTCAAGGCTGCCTGATGAACTATTCGAGTCTCAAGGACACTCATGAGCGTCCTATCCGCCGCCATACGCAGCAAGGTAAGTACAGCGTACTTGACGGACTCGGGCCTCAAATTGCCCGCCACTCGCTGCAGCCAGTTGAGGTATGTGCGCAGTCCCGACCAATCTCTACCAGCATACGCATTCTGGTCTTCGCGCACAAGCTGGACCTTCTCATCATCAATATCGTCTGCAGCATTCATGCAGCCAAACAGCTCACGTAGACGTCCGGGCGTGACAAGCTCCCGTATTTGACCTGCATTGGCACTGAGAAGATGGGAATAGGCCACTTGAAGGGGCCTCTTCTCCCCTTCGATAGCCATCAACATCCAGAAGAAGATCTCGTCAGGTAGCCTATGCCGGCTGGCGACGCATTGCAGCGTGTTGCTCTGCAAATGCTGCTTGCGGGACCCCTCTTTGGCCAGCAGGGCCCACGGACCCAGAGCGGCCTGTTGCGGAAACGGCGGTGGCGGCCCCAATGGCCGGGCTTCCGATGAAGATTTTCCCCTTTTGAAGAAATAACACCTGCTGTTGGTCGACGTGGTAGCTTCTGTTCGCTCCATGGCGCGCATAGCCTTGCCAGCCACCTCCTTGTCGTTGACGCCCGCAACACTGATAAATTTCCTGCGGGCGGTATTCGGACTGGGAGGGGGCGCGTAGTTGATGCCTGGCCACGCATTTCCCGCGTCGGATCTTAAGTCTGCGCTCTTCTCTTCACCGTTGCCGTCCAGTCTAGACGAGCTCGCGGCGATGGCATCATCTCGCCTTTGGTGTTCCATCAGTGTTTTCATGTCGAACATGGGTTTCGGAGGAGCTGGCGCAGGTGACTTTTCGCCCGGCCTTCGACGACGCAGTTTTGTCCTTGGAGAAACAGCCTTGCCTACGAGGCCCGGCAGCACGTCTGGCTTCGATTTACGTGACAAGAGCATCTCAAGGTCGGGCAAGGAGCAGTCGGACGAGTCGTCCTCCTCGTCATCGGACCCCTTGATTTCCAAGTCGCGGCTAAACGCTTCCCTCGTCATCGCTGTGGATGACGGCGGCGAAGACGGCGCTAGCAACGGCGAGGACAGATGGTCTGGCAGTGATAGAATGCTTTCCGACAACGTGGATGGCTCGTCCCGAGAGGGACTGGTCCTGGCGGACTTCAGGCGGTCCTTTTTGGGGGATAGGAGCGCATAGTCTGCTGTTCGTTTGCTGGTGGCAGAGTCACTGATCCTTGTGGCGAACAAGGTTCGCGTGGGGCTTGAAGGCGCGTACCCAAGGTCGAAGGACTGTTTAGGGTCTATCACGACCGGCGTGGACTGTCGTCTCACGAGCGGAGAGGAAAATATTGACGTCGAGTCGTGCGTCACTCTCTTGGGTGTCCTAGTCTGGCTCAGCCCTGCTTCTGAAGGAGCCTTGCATGTTGGAATGGATGAAGGTGGTACAGATGCAGGCGCGGCAGGTAAAGACAGTTCAACAGCAGCAGCAGCGGCAGCGGCAGCGGCAGGAGTAGTGGAAGAAGACGAAGAAGTGGCAGTGGGTGGTGGTGATCGCGACCGTGACCGAGTCGGCAGTCGCTGTGCGTTGTCAGAGCGTGCTTGAAGATGTCGTGGGGGTTTTCGCGATGTTGGCTTGGCGAGAATCTTCCTTCCTTTGCGCTTTTCGTTTGCTGGGACGTCCTCCACAGAAGGCTCAAGGTTCTGACCAGAATGACTGGATTGCGAGCCGCCGCGATCCGTTCGACCACTGGCCAGCCGAGGCGTCGTCTTGAAGAAGCCCGAAATCTTGCTCTGCTTGTGAGACATGATGAGAGGTTATGTTGGGACGCCCGTCAGGCTGCAGCCCGATGGGCGAATATAGCACTTAGTACTCGCTGGATGAGTCGAATACCGGGCGAAGAAATGCGTCTTGCTACATTCTGACGACTCGAGATTTGAGGCCGAGATGACTAGTTTATTGATGCCTTGATGATGCGAGGTCTTGGACTGCAGGTGCGGAGGCACACGCGCGCGCATCGCGTCAGCCAGACCACTGTGACAACCACTTTAATTGTGGTCTTCTTATCAGGGCGAACAGGCACGTCAGGTCGTTACTGGTGTCTAAGGCGGGATAGGCTTAGCCCCAAGCAACGTCCATCTGGCTTAGGTAATCGGGCGGCCCCGCCATCTGGCGCCCCCTGGAATCCATCTGTCCATAGGGACCTGACGAGCGCCGACATTGGGGGTGCCTCTCGACGACCGCGACGCACAGGACCACACGAGGGGCAACTTAGTCCCGCTGGTGCCGTTCACGAGAATAAGATTTACAGTGGTGCTCATGTTGCACGGCTGCCTGTCAGGGGACCATCGTCGGCGTGGCGCAGCTGCGCCGGTGTGACGCCTAACCTTGCATCTCATCTCAGATTTGGCCAACTGCCTTTCTGGCGCACGCTACACCACAAGCTGACAGGCAGGCTGTTTATTCTCTCTCGCTCGTCCAACCAGTCCGACTTTCGAGGTGCGTTGGCGCAGCTCTCATGTCGACCGAAATGCCAAGACGTCAGACAGCCACGGTGAGTGGTCGTACCGCCAGTCTCCGCCTCGCCTGGCGAAGGGGAGGGGGGGGAACAGACCAGGGAAGCGAGATCTACCATAGCATCTGGCCTTTCTAATTCAGGGGGTGCCCAGACCTGGGGGCGCCCAACGATCCCATCTCCTTCAAACGAGTGTGCATGATAAAGCTCATCACGCATGTGCGCAGTCATCGTTGCAGTTGGCACGAGATGGCGTTGGCAAGGTAGACCACGGATAACCTGGGGGAACAAGAGTGGTCCCGAGGGATCTCGCCAAGACGAGAAATGAGGTTCGGTCGCAAAGGCGAACCAGTATCGCTTTCCGGCTGCTCCTTTCACGATCCGGGACCTTCGGTTCTCAAGGGCCCAAGTGCCAGATTTGGGGATCCGGTTTTAGGTGGACAGGCAATTATGCGAGTACTTAGCTGTAGGCCACATCCCAGTGCAATGTTCGACAGGGATACAAGGCGATGGGCGGGCGAGGTGAAGACACAGGGCAGGACCCGGGACCTAGGGCACTCGTGTTCCATCCCTTCTTCCATTCCCTTCCGTGCCGACCTAATGATCGGGAATGGACGACAAGATGGCCGCCACTGACCGGCACCTCAACCCTTTAGTGCCCAAATTTGGCCTCAGTACTTCGTATGATCGACATCCAAGTGGCAGAAAATACATTTCGCCAATTGAATCAAGAAACATAGCAAACTGTGCATCTAGATGCTTGTGCGTTACCTATGTTTCACAGACATACCCGCCCTCAACCTTGTAATGACCTAGTACCTGCTCTTTAGGTAGGCGGTGGTCATGTTATGTACAGGTCGGAATAGCGCGACACCTCCGGCCCCCAGATGCAGCATGAGGAGGAGCGCCGACTGACCGCAGGTCCGCAACACGCGACCTGATTACCAACTATCCGCGTACTTCGGACTTCGCATGGCGGAGCCAATGAAAGAGGCAATGCAGCTTTGCTGTGAACCCGCGCGAACCGGCCTGTCCTGTGGCTGTTTTTTTGGTGGCACATTGAGGAAACTAATAGGACCTGACGGATCGGATCGGCGCTGGAGCCCAGGCTACCCTGGGAAACCCCCTCCTCTCCCCAAAAGAGCAACGGTTGAGGCGGGACCGGCGGACTTCCATGTCGGACTGACGTTACTGCTTCTGCTGCTTCAACGATTCGGCGCGAGCGACGTGGTGGGCGACGTTACTTTCATCGCGGTAGTCCTGGGTGCCGTCATCAAGAACACCGTGGTTCAAATCGCTTGCACGGGCACCCGCATCAAGGGTACGTGGCTAATGCTCCGTTGCGCTTGTCATGCTGTAGGCAGAACGTGAGGCATGAAGGGAAACCCCTGGCTGAGCACCAGCCCATCCACGCAGTCGAGCGAGTTCAACAAGCATGCCCAGCCCC